TAAAAATAAAATACAGGTAAATACTAGCCATCAGCATAAATGCATAATCATACCAATAAAATAGAGATGATATGGGATTTTTATAAAATTTTTGTACGATAATCTCTTAGCTATCTGATAGCAATCTTGTAGACGAAACAAATTTCATTAATGGAACCATCAACAAGAAAGTACGAAAAAGATTGTTTAAAAGTGAAACTCTAAAAGAGTGCGGAAAATTCATAAATAAACGGGATCGTTGATCATATAAGACGCTACATCATAAACTCAAGCAAAGATCATAAACGCAAAATCCAAATAACCATTTAGATTGAACAATCAAATCACAAAAGATTGAACCACTCAATGTAATCGAACAATTACTCATATAATTGACGACACATGTAATGAGCAAGCCAGTACTCAAATACAAACCAAACCATCGAATATATTACTATATAGGATAGGAGAAATTCATAACCAATGCAACAAGCATGCAAAACACATAAACCATTATGCTACACATTGAAATGGTTGGATGATAGAGGAAACATCAAGGTGACAAAGCAAGCGAAGGTGCCTATAAGCATGGAAATTATCAAGATGAAGTGCTTTGTGATGTGATTCCAACGAAAGCATGTCACATCTTGCTAGGAAGGCCATGTGAGTTTGATAGGAAGGCTAATAAAGAGGTCTATACAAATAAATATACTTTCCTGAACCAAGGAAAGCCATTTGTTTTGAGTCAGCTTTCGCCTTTTGAAGTTACTCGGATACCCAAAATAACCATTTCTGTTTTGGTAGAAAAATATTGCCTTGTGGACCTTTGAAATTCATGCCATGATTGTTGTTAAATCTGCCAGCTGGAGTAAATCCACGGCCACGTGATGTAAATCTTCCACCCGTCCTACTGCCTCGACCACGGCCACGGCCATGTTGGCTGAAAAATGCTTGAGCATGCTGAACATATTAGTTCTCTTCTTCATGGCTTGATCTCATAACTTGCTCATGATTTTGCAAAGCCGATAAGAATTGTTGAAACGTGGGCATAGGTAGTTTGCTAAGCATTGCAGTTCCAAAATCAAAATACTGACTTCCGAGACCACTAGCGAATTGCAGCACTTTGTCAACCTCCGACAGTGGTTTTTGTATGGCTGCTAAATTATCACATATATTCTTAAACTCTTTGTAATATTCTTCCAAGGATCGATTTCCCTTCTTGATTACCATGAGAAGGCACTTTAAATAGCATTCCTTCTCCACTGTTGTTGGAAGAAGTTCTTGTTCAAGAGTAGTCCAAACAGTGAAGGCTGTGCTTGTGTTGCCCATCACCACGACAAGTGCTTCCTCATTCATGGTTCCAAGCAACCAAGAAGTCAGCAAGCCATCATTGATTTTCCAGGTTTGGAATGTCTTGTTTTCAACTATTTTATTTTCTACTTCAATTGATTCTTCTGGCCTTGCGTCGACCACCAAATGATGATAGACTCCCAAGCCTTGAACTAATAGGCCAATTTGTGAGTGCCACATCAAATAATTAGTAATGTTGAGTTTGATTGAAACATGACTAGAGCATTGATGAAATGATTGTATGGAGAGCTCAGGTTCTTCTTTTGGTATTGAAAAAGAAGATGAAACCATTTTTGAATAAGAGGAAGAATTAACGAGTATAGGCTCTGACACCATGAAGAAGTTAGAAAATACACTCGTTTTGGATAATATCTTCCATTACTTTTCATGATGAGTTCAACAACAATATATACAAATAACGCTAACGGTTATATGATCTATATTTAGTACAATAATCTTGTTATAAAGGAATTTCCTTATCCCTGTGATTTGAATTTGAATGGGAATCTTCCAGCATCTCTTTTGTTAATGACCTTGGATTTGAGCCATGGTGATTACTGTCATTGATGATAGAATCATCATCATCTTGATTGTTGCCACTGAATGAGCAATTGTTGTGGCTCTGTTTTCTTTCCTTAACAAGAAGATGATGTCGAGGTCGAATTATGGTCTATGATCCATACTTAAATCCCCATAAATTGAGAGGTATTGAGCTTCCATCTGATTCAGGGGCTACACGGAGAGATGGAGTTTGTGTAGAGCGGTTCCCATTGAAAGACGTCTCAGGTATTTTGAAATTAGAAGAGCTTTTAATCAAACAAGGACTTTGAGAATGTGGGAGCTCCAGGAGGAGAACCACAAATGGTGCATCCAACAACAAATCCCGGCTTCTAAACTTGTGTTCTCTCAGGTTGAGGGATGCAGCCTGAAGACAAGTGTTGTGTCATTCCACCCGTTTGATAAAGATATCGTTTATTTTTATTGTGGCTGGAAACATTCGGGCTTGGTCTCCGTTAACATGCGAATCCAAAAGCGTTCAACTTGTCCATCCATACAATCCCAGAGACCCGTATCCATGTTGGCTGGTGGCGCTTCCACCTTTGGACTTCTCCATCTCACCTTCGATCTGTAGACGGAAGAGAGGTTAGCAACTAGGATTTTTAGGAATATAAGATCGTACCATAAACTGATTACTTCAAGATTCAATTGGTGGTCAGTGTTTTGATGTATTTTATTATTATTATTATTTTTTATTCCTGAGAGTAGGATTATGAAGAATCTAAATATTTGCATGTGTTTGGTTACACTTGAATGCTCTTTTATGAGAAAATTAAACACCGTAAGATGCTTAGCTGAAGTTAAACAAGAAATCTGCAGGAGAAGGTAACTAACTAATATTCAACTCAATATAACCGGAGAATAGGGAAATTTTATAATAATAAATCTCTGCCTAAATGGAGCTTGAGAAGGGAGGGGATGAAGATGAATGACGGGAAGGTTAATGGATAAAGCAGTGAAACATGTACAAATGTTACTTTTAAGGACTATTTGGTTTTATTTCAACATTCGCCCCTAAAGGCCTATACTAATAGTACTAGTACTATTTAAAATCACTTTTATCCCCTCTCGTTTTTCCCTTTTCTGATGTTGTATCCTTTGGTGAGAATAAACTAAAAAATAATAATAATAATTCCTTAAATGGTAACGGCTATTTGGAATGTGAATTGAAATCGACTAAAAATTTCCGAACAAATAAAGTCTGAGGATGTTGAGTGTAATAATGAAAGATACATCTTTTGCTATTGGATGATCATTGAAGATTTATTTGCATTACGTGAACAAGGAAAATGATTTTTCAGGATCATTCCCTTTATATTGTCATTCAAAATTACATGTCCATCAACAAGAATATGACAATATGAAGCAACTACAAACTCTTACCATATCAAAGATATTAACATGAACAAACCATGACTTAAAAAGAGTAAACTTACAAGTTAACAAACACTAAATGAAAAAAGAAAATGCTTGAGATGATGATACTTTTCTCTAATGTTTTCATGATGCTACTACAATTTACTTTAAAAGGTTCACTTGCTATACAATTAATTAATTAATGGCAAAAAAGGGTACTAATTTGAAGATTAATTCTTTTGAAGGGAAAAAAAAACAAAATTAATAATATGTACGAAAACATAAATTTAGGGAAGAAGCACTAACCCGCCATATCCTCCATGATTCCCCGTAGACTTCAGTTTTCCCTCCCTATCCTTTCCTTCCTTCTTCCTTCTTCCCGTTTGATGCAACTTCTTCACACACACACACACACGCACACACACATGCAGATTCTCCATTATCATCATATCTTCACCAATGATCATCTCCCCCAATTAACATACTAATTTTTTTTTTCTCCTTAGGTACTTAAACTTTGGTGTGGGTTTTTTTTTCATTTTTTTTCCCTTCTTTTCACATGCTATACAATTCAAAAAAGTATGGTTAACCAATGAGGAAATGCTTGCAGGGATTTTTTAATTTTGAGATTATCGAAGAAATTAAGACGTAAAATTGCTGTTGTAGATACGGGTTTAGCTTTTTTTTGTTTTTTTTTCTTTTCGGCCTACAACAACAATAACACCATACATGTTGATTTTTCACAAAAAGATGAAGTCTTCTTCTACCTTTGTAAGTTTTTTTTTTCCTCTATTCTGTACTTATGTTGCAAAACTGCTTTCTATTGTAACAACTCAAAACACGTTCGTATGCATTGATGATTTATTATTTGTTCTGTTTCGAGGGGTGTAGACACTATGCAGGTTGCCAGATTCTTTCATTTCTTTCCTTACTTTTTTACTTTGATGACAAAGTATGTTCTTTTTATTGAATGTGTACAATGTGCATTCTCAAGAATTTTTTATGGTCAGTAAAATTTTCTGAATTTTTGGCCTTTTTGTTGGTAACGATTCTTTCGGTTTTGGAAATATGGGGAAGTAATGAATGAAATTTTGTAACATTTCAAATTGAAAAGAGGTTTCTAAATCTCAATTATTGTTTAGCTTCTAGTATTCTGCTTTAGGTATGATCACTTGAGATGTGTTATGGTATGTAAATGAATGAGATCAAATGATATGAAAACATGAATGAAGTGAATTTTCACTTGTGGCTGGCTTTCGTGTGTGTGTGTGTGTGTATTTGCATTGTTCATTGTCACAGGACTAACAACTATATTCTTCTGCAATATTTCACTGTAATAACAGTGCTACCTCTATATCTATCAGGGATTATTGCCGAGAGATACGATGCATAGAAGATCATGGTTGTGCAGCCCCTTACCTGCTGCTACACTGTTCTTTCTCTTGCTCTTAGCAGGGAGCGTATTTATAGCCTTACAAAGCAAACAGGTTTTCATCTTTAAGAGTTAATTTACTGTATAGTGTAGTATATTATCTGCTCTCAAGGTAAATTAAATGTATACTTAGGGGCTGTCATGCATTGCAATTTTTGCGATTCACTTGATGAAACTAATCAAATTCAGTAGTACATGAAGTTTAAATCTCGCTAAAATTTATCATTGTCCTGGACTCCTGGATACATGCAGTGCCTTTTATTTGGGCTTAGAAACTCAGAGTTCTTAAGATAATGTTGGGATTCTTTATGCAGAAATTTTTGAAATGGAATTTGGAGGAGAGCTTTCAAGAGTCTACATGTGAGGTTTGTCTTTCTTTCTTTCTTAGACTGGTGATCATTTTTTCTGGTCACTCTTGTTGGATGCCTCTTGTATTCCATTACAGGGTTTGAAGTATGCTTTTCTTGAAGGCCAATTTGTTGGAAACATTAAGACTTATTTTGGTTTTCCCCTTTTCGTGGGGGTATTTTCAGTCAAGTCTTCCAGAATGTAATTTGTATCATCTGTTTTAGAACCAATGCAGGCCTCCAGGAAGTGAGCCATTCCCTAAAGGTTTCATCGCAAAGACTTCCAACCTGGAAAGACGACCATTATGGGGTTCGCCAAAGGTATCTTCCTTGAGACTTTAACTGAACCAATGCGCTATTCCTCAATGTTTATGGAACTGTTGAGTGAAATACTAATGTGACCAATTAAGAGTTAATTCTTCAAGAAAGACACCTTGAAATAATTGAACCGTGTCCTCCAACAGAAACTGAACTCTTCAAGAAGTTTGTTCGCTCTTGCCATTGGAATAAAACAAAAAGTGACAGTAGACAAGATGGTGCAGAAGGTAAGAGATTTCTGTTTTGTGTGTTTCTTTTACACTACTATATTGTGCTCTTTCTTACTATTGTATTAACAGTGAGGTTTTATGCTATTTTAATCAAATTGTAGTTCCTGGAAAGCAATTTTGCTGTGATGCTTTTCTATTACGATGGTATTGTTGATGGATGGAAGGATTTTGAATGGAATGATAGAGTTATACACATATCTGCTCTGAACCAAACAAAATGGTATGTTGCCTCAGATACGATTATTTGCCGGATGACAACATTGACAATTTTTCTTAGCTTAGAATTTGAAAAATGTTATGTTGTTCTGGTAATTCTTATTAAGCTCCAGTTTGCAGTTGAATAAAAACATAGAATTTATTGTTCTTGATGGTATGTGTTAATGAGATTGTAAAAACAGGTGGTTCACCAAAAGGTTCCTACATCCAGACATTGTAGCTGATTACGACTTCATTTTCGTCTGGGATGAAGACATTGGAGTGGAAGATTTCAGCCCTGAGAGGTATGCGAGGAAGGCCATGTAGATGTAGAACAGGTGGAAGATTTCAGCCCTGAAGGGTATCCAAAATAATCTTTCTAGGAAGGCCATGGGAGTTTGATAGGAAGGCTAATAAAGAGGGCTATACAAATAAATATACTTTTCTGAACCAAGCAAAGCCATTTGTTTTGAGTCAGCTTTCGCCTTTTGAAGTCATGAAGGCACAATTAAAATTAAAAAGAGTGTGAGAAAAGGCAGCAAAGAGCTAAAAGGGCCGAAAGAGAGAAATGGGAATGGGAGAGGATCAAGAGTGAGAGAAATAGAGAAAAGCAAAAAACTAGAGAGAGAAAAGACAATTTTTATACTTCAATAGGAGACCTAGGAAGGGCACTAAATAAATGAACCCCTTTGATCCTTATGGTATATATGGAATTTTGTTTAAACACTAACCCCATTGATGATTTTCCTGGTGTTGTGAAATTTGTCTTGCAGGATTTTAAAGATGTGTTTCCAGAGGAGCTTCAAAAAGGTTTACCACCTTTAAGAGGCATTGAGCATCAAATAGATTTTCTTCCTAGTTCTGTGATTCCTGATAGGCCAGCCTACAAAGCTAATCCGAAGAAGAGAAAGGAACCACAACGTCAAGTGGATGAACTCCTTGACAAAGATGGAGCCAAGAAAGCCGAGTCTGTGCGCAAGCTCCATGAGAAAGTACACATGAATATTTTGAAGAAGAATGAACATTTTGCTAGAATGGCAAATAAGGGTCGCAAAGAAGTGATATTTGAATCTGGTGATGGGGTTTGGGTTTATTTGAGGAAGATTCAATTTCCTACCAATGTCAAATCAAAGCTTAATCTACATGGAGTTGGTCTTTTTCAAGTTGTCAAGCGTTTGAACAACAATTCTTATCAACTTGATCTTACCGGTGAGTACAATGTGAGTGGTACTTTTGATGTTTCTGATCTTTTCCCTTTGATTATGCAGATGCTAAAACTATGGATGCTTTGGATTCGAAGACGAATCTTTTTGAGGATTGGGGGGAATCAGGTGGAAATCCAAGGAGCCCCAAGTAATGTTCGTGCTCAAGATCCATTATCCAATATGGGAAGTCCAATAACTCGTTTAAGAGCCAAAAAGATGTAGACTGCAGTTAATAATCTCATAAAAACCACTTTGGCCAAGGAAAGTGATAAGTTTCAGGATTACAAGCCCATGTTATTAATATGCTATCAATAAATGGATTTGTTCCATTTTTGTGAAATATATTTTGGCCCACATTACAAGATAGGGCCGCCCGATCGCATCTCTTAATTTTTAGGAGTTGGAATCTCCATCTTTTAGGGATAAAATCATTTAAATCTTATCACACTTGTGGAAAGATAAGATTTGGAAGATTCCCTATCTTTCAGAGGTAAGATCATTTAATCTTATCATAATCATGAAAGGATAAGATTTGAATTAATTCTCTTTTATCTGCTTTTGAGTTTGTTCACAATAAGAAGTTCCTTAATATCTATTCTCAACCATTGGATGAAGGCTACATCAAGATTGGATGACTATGATTACTCTAAAAAGAAGATATTGATAGAGTTGACAACTCAGTAAGATTCTTTTTAAGATACGGATAAGACTCTTTTGAGATAATATCTCTTTGTATTAGGAGTTTTATTTTTATTAGACTAATGTATCTTAAGTCTATAAATGTGTCTGGATACATTGCCTTAATAGATAAGATGTCAAGTTAGAAGTTTATTTGATTTCTAGTTCTTTAAAGTAGGAATAGAGTTAGAGAATTCTCCTCATTCTTAGGAGAATTTTCGGCCAACCCTCTACTATAAATAGGGGTCATTCGGCCAAATTTTAAGATGTACTTTGATGAATTTGTTCAATACGAACTTGAGAGGAAACTCATTGTTTCTTTGACCTTTTGAGGTTATTTGGCTTTTTTCAAGATCTAGTATTTTGCATAAGGTAGTGAACGTGCATCCAAGGGTAGAGTCCTTGTGTGGATTTCTTCAGGTGTCATTGTAAGGGAGCACATCTATCCATCGTCATCATAATCTTTAGACAGGGGTTGTTAGAGCCGTTACTCTTGGGGCTAAATCAACATGATTTGCTTATTTTCTATTTTTCCATAACTTTTGGGTTAGAGTTTTTGTGGCTCTGCCTTCTTTGTTCATCATGCAATTTGTTATGGCTTGGGGAAAGAATCAAGTCCTTAGGCAAGTTTTCGCATAATTTCAAGTAAGATTTATATTGATTTGTGCATTAGAATTTGTTTTGCCTATAGTTTCACTATTGGCCGAGTAGATTCACATCATCAAAGAGTTGCAATGCGTTACACTCATCATAGTGTGGAGTCAAATGTAGATCATGTCTTTCGGACATTGGGTGTGATTGGATGGGTTGACAATTTTATAGTTGATATTGATGGAGGAAGTAGTGTTAGTTGCATAACTGAGGCGTTTGTTATAGTTAATCACTTAAAGGCGAGAGACTTGAATGAACCGTATAAGCTACTTTGGTTGCATGGTGGTACGGAAATTAGTGTTACTCAAAGTGCAAGGTTGGATCTTCGTATATGAGAGCTTGTTATGCCGGAGTTGCTAGATGTAGTACCTATGATGGCATGTGATGTTATTTTGGGTTTACCGTGGATTAAAAAGATGGGAATGGTCTACGTTGGTACATTAATTTGTTTTCATATCTTGATAATGAATCATATTCAAGAAGGGGAGGATGATCAGAATCATAGAGCTTCCCATCGAAGTTCTAACCAAATAAAGGAGTAAAAAGTGTTCTTGTTAATTGGTGGACCAAGATTATTTCCTTTTAAGTCTAGAAGAAAGTGTGCTATGAGAAGAAGACCTTCAGTGAGGGAGTTTTCACCTCAACCTTCTAGTAGGAGCAATGAGGAAGAAGAATTGTTTAGTCATCAAGATCACGTGTCAAAAGAGTCTAGTGATGACTTTGCTGAAAATTGGGATGATTCAAGTGAAGGAAGTTCAAGTGATGTTGTTAAGATCGATGCTAGTGAGTTTGTTCCAAAGAATAAGCATCATGAAGACAGTGAAGATACACATTCAAATGTGTAGAAGACATCATTGGAGTTTGAAGGTTTGAATGAGCCGTGTGCGCCAAAAGAAAAGGAAGAGCCGTGCGGGAAGTATTTAAATATTTTTATTTAAATTATTGTTGATTCTGTAAATAGATAAAATTCTATTTACCTAGAGTTAAATAAATTATTGTTAAAGTAAGCCTTGTTGGCCGCCCTAGTCCTTTTTTAATAAGGTTAATTCAGTCTTTTGCCATTAAAAGAAGTAAATTTAATTACTTTGTTTAATGTTAAGTAGGAGTGTGAGTCAAAATTGGTTATGTCTTTCCTTCATGTGTGTTGGATCGAGTAGGAGAAAGGGAAAGTGACCTTTTCTTTAGCCTTAAGTTTAGGGTTTAAGTCTTAGAGAGCAAGAAAACTTATCTATAAATAGGTGGCCGAATTCTCTCATTGAGATAGAGTGTCATGAGTCAAAAATAATATTTGGAGTCGAATCAATGGATTTTGAACCCTTTGTGGTTTTTTATACAAAGAGCGGATCTCGTTATTTGGGAGGAGTTGTAAGGTTTCTTTCTTTGGATGTAACGGGACTTGGTTCTTAGAGTAAATCGTTTTATCATGTTGAGCGTTTGCATGATTTAATTGTTTTAAAACTAATCTTCTTATCATCTTTTGTTATGATAATTGTGTGGTTTAGCATGTTTGATTGCTTAGTTTCTCGAGTTTTTGTGACTTTAGGTCGTAAGAAACCTTGTTGGGTCTATCTATTGTTATAGATGGGTTTCCTTGGAAATAGCATAATGATTTCGGAGTGTAGCATAATGTGAATCTTCCACCTGTTCTACATGGGTCAGACTAAGTTTCTAGGAATTACTTTTAATGTGTAGCTACTTGGATGCGTGGTTGTATAAAGATTCATTAGCCGCACTAGATCGGTACTAACACAATTAGTGCAACTCCCTCCATCAATGATGACAAGACAAATCTTCTTGTTCACCTTGCACCTTATATGGAAAATATTAGTACGTTGCTCTAGTCGTTTGTCATGAACTGGTTACGCATTTAAGGCATGACATAAAACCATAGCTTGTTGCGAAGGTTCTTTATAAACATCCTCAACATCTTCACTATCTTCATCATCATACATGTGAGACCCGAGAGTTTAATCACCTAACTAAATAGATTAATATTAGGTTTATTCAAAATAATTCTGTTTTACTCAGTTACATCCTAGGGAACTAATTCTAGTATAGCAGTAGAAACATATCATAAGTAATTTAATGTAAGCTTCTAGGATATTTGGGGGTTGTATAGTATATTTAAACCATTAAATTATTAAGGAAGATAAGCTCAAGAAAATGTATAATAATTATAAATATAAAAAAAGCTAAACTAATGGGAAGTGGCGAAATCAGCCGCCTAAACATTGAGGTGGCTTCCTAAGACTAAGTTTCTAGGAATTACTTTTAATAGTTAATTAAGAGGTCAGTAAATTTAGTCCTAGAACAACAAAAAGAAAGAAAGTTTCCAGGAAAAAGGGGGAGGGGGTGGGGGAGGGGGAGGAGAGAATGGTGAACTTCGAGAGAGAAGGAAAACAGAGCTTGGGCACTATTGATTTACAGTTGGATTCGAAGAAGGAATGAAGCTTAGAGTTCAGATTTCATTAAGGTAACATATTAACCTTCCAGTAGAATGTTGATTGAAGTATATCGATTAAATTGGAATGAGCTCGGGTCAATTTCGGATGCTTCTTCTTTCGGTTTTTGGTGCTGATAAATCATGTTAAATGTTGGGTTGCTTAAATGGTCAGTGAGCAAAAGAATTTGCTAGAATTTGTTAGTTCGAATTTGTGAATTAGAGCTTCCATTTTCTTTTTCTTGTTGCATGTGCAAGCCTAAATTTGGTGCAAGGTTTTATTTTGTTAAAGGGGAAAAGGAAAAGAATTCTGAAACTTGTAAATCAAATTATGGGAACAAGGATCACTTAGG